TGATGACGTGGAATACCAAACGTCACCTCGGGCAACCACGGACTCCCTCTCCTCGACGCGCTACTCCCAACGCAATGATGACCCTATCCCCATAGGGTGGCGGCACAATTCCCGAAAGATACCTCGTATGCTCGACAGACGCGCCCGGTAAGGATCCTCCGCGCATCCACCACCGAAGATGTCTCCGAGCACGACACTAGGAGGCCCTCGAGGGCCCACACCTCTGTCCCGGGCACGAGACCTCGACGAGGGAACGACTTGGGTTCAAGTCATGGCTCCTCGCAAAGGAACCACGACTTGGGGGGCTCCTGTTCTGGACTGGGCCCGACAGGCCCAAAGGCATTGCAAAGGCCCAGTCCAAATGGACTTACAAGGGCCACGCCGACCAAAGAATAAGGCCGTGCCCGACGCACAGTCACTGGCTCGACGATACGCCTCCAGCTCGACATGAGGTGGTCCAGCACCACGGTCTGAGGTCCAGCTCGACGTTACCTCGAGCACCCCAGCTAGGGCAGACTCAGTCCACCGTTCCCCCAACGATACTCCGAAAAGACCGCGTCTCCGTCCGCCCGCACTTCACGCAGAACATCCAGGAAGGGGACCACGTGCGGGTCCCCACTACCCACGTAGAACCTGGCAGTTCCTCCATTGGGCCAAACCTGCCCGGCCCAATGAAGGAACCTTGGCCCAGCGCTGGGGGCTATAAATACCCTCTGCTTCCAGAGGGTCAGGTATTCATCATTCTAACCTTAAACTTGCTATTATCTGCTCGTACTCCTACTTACTTCAGCATCGGAGTGCCTTGCAGGTACCCCCCCCCCCCCACCTCGTTCAAAAAAGCTTTCTGCTCGGAGCCAGCCGTGACGGTCCATTTCTGATCAGGTCAGATCAAAAACCAAGTTGGGTTTTTCCTTCAAGATCAATTGGTGATTTAATGGTTTGGACAAGATTATGCAATTTGGATTCAGGCGAGTGAAAGCTTCAAAGAAAGGTGGATTTGATCGAAAGAGTAGCGTGATATGGAGGATCGAATTGGTAAATATTGGGTCACAATATGTTTGCAATTTGGATTCATACGAGTGAAGTCAATGAAGAACAAGGTTCTTGCAAAGAAGTGGCGTGATATGGAGGATCAAATTGGAAGTATCAGGTTCACTTGATCGAACTCGAGATCAAGGAGAGAAGAAGATAAGATCAACAACATACTTAGCATTTTGCTTGTTGGATTGCTACTTTTTATCTTGTATCAATATTTTGCAAAGGTTAAATTTCATTATCTCAATTCCGAACGGAATTAGGGGCAGATGTACCCATAGTGAGACCGATTGGGGAACTGACTAAACAAGTCCTTGTGTCTTTCTCTTTCTCTCTTACTCTCTACTTTACGTTTTCTTGCAAATTATGAAAACTTCAATTGCATGATCAATACATCGAGATAATCTCTTAGGTTAGTACCATAAACTATTTTGTTGATTTGATTACTATCTTTGTGATTATAATTGGTTTCTAACAAAAAAAATCATACAAAAATCTGGTTTGAATCGATTGCACTCCAAGTGTTCGATAAATTATCTTAGATAATTTTTGTCAATTATTTCATTTGAAATTGATTTCTACAGTATGGTTTATTCAAAGTTGGTTTGCTGGAACTATATTGGTTGTTTTTCTTATCCTACGTAAACGCGTTCTATCGGTTTAGCGCATATTCGGTCTTTCCGATAATGGTTCAAATAGAGGATTATCGATACGGGTTTGTTTCTGCATGTCATAGTTTTAAATGTTTTAAAATAGATTCTTAAATATAAAATTTCATTTGCGATCTATTCAACCTCCCTTCTAGATAGTAGCATATCGTCTAGGTGTTCTTCTTCATCTAGGTTTCAAGGCATGAAAATGTGATCACGTATCATTTATCTTGTCTTAGAACAAGCAATTTTTCTACCTACTAATTTATGTTGAGAATATCATCATTAGAGGTAGATCCACGTCTCTCATTTAAAAACTCATTATTAAACTTAACTTTGTCTTCTTTGTCAAAAATTTAGGTGATTTGGACTAATTTCTTGATATAGAGGTTCATAAAAACTCCAATGGTACACTACTACTTTCTCAGTCCAAATACGTCATGAACATGCTCCAACAAGCTAATATGCTTGAATGCAACACTATTTTTACTTCTATGTTGTCCACTTGCATACTCACCAAGACTCGATCCAAATTATTACCCAGACCTTTTATGTAGAAGTAAGTAGTTGGAGCCTTGCGATATGGTTTCAAATAGACCAAGAATGTAAGGGTGGGTTGTCCAAACAAAAAGAAAAACCATATAAGATATTTAAACATGGTCAAAACCAATGACTCTTACAGTGAAAAAGATAGTGTTTCATCTAGATAGTGTTGTAAAGTATAGATTATTGACTATATATACTCTTATCATATGAAGTTACATCGGGAGTGGTTCACTATATTAGGCCAGGCAATTTTGATATTGTTTATTTGATTGATGATAAAGTATGTGTTATATTGAAATGAGACAAATTAATATTACTATGGATGATGATGATGTGCGGGCATGGAATGATGTAAGATATATTTTAGAATTGAGAAATAATTTGATTTTTCTCGAGTACTCTATAAAGAAATGGTTTTTCGTAAAGGTCTAATAGAGATATGGACATTATTAAGGTCGCTAAGGGTGCCTTAATAGTGATGAGAATAAAGAGGAATGTATGTAACATCTAAAAACTGTTGGGAAGTACTATTGTATGAACTACAATAAAAATGAGTTTACGCAACAACGAAACTTTGCAGCCAAAAATAGGAAAATCATTGCCTAATGTTTTAAGGGGCACTTTTTCAGTTGTGGAGTTTACGGTCGTGCCTATTCTCACATGGCATAGTTTTTTAACTTTAGCCCACAGTAATACAAAATGTCTCCAAAAATATGTGAACAGACCACAGTTTACTGAATTAATTTAGGACTTTTCAAATTGTAGCTTAAAGTGAATATGGGATGGTGTTTAATGAAAACCTAAAAATTTGTCAACACGTAAAAATGTGGCCTATTGCCCCTTTAGGCAAAGGTTTTTAAGTCATTGTATATTCTTTGTTGCCTAAAGTATAAAAAATGTCGTGAGGTGATTTGGCGTCTATTGAGTCTGGTAGTGATGGAACTAAACTGTGTCACATGTATTTGGGTAATCTTAATGATTGTGAGATGATGGAACTTCATAATAATAATCTATTAAAGGGTGGCCGCGATTGCAATATGGAATTGTGCATGTATTATGTACTTGAGAAATAATTTTGTACTTCTTTTAAGACCAAGAAACATAGAACAAAAGGAATCCAAGATTATGGGCATTATAATGTTTTGGGCCCTACCAAAGAGGCCTTTATGGGTGGTTCCAAGTATTTCGTGACTTTCACTAATGACTTTTCTTGCAGTGTTTGGATATATTTTAGAAATTCAAAGTATTTACCAAGATTAATTTGTGAAAGGCATGTTTAAAGAATCAAACGAGCGTAAAATAGAATAAAGTATAATGATTCAAACTTTAAGCAATTTTATACGGAATGTTTAGATGCATTATTAAGTTTGGAAGATGTTGCAACATAATGGTGTGGTATAAAAAATGAATAAGCCTCAAACTAAAAAGGAAAGTTTTTTGGTTAAATGTTGGAATCTCAAAAAAAAATTGGAAAAAGGTGGTTACCATGGTGTGTTATCTGATCAATAGGTCACCATTGACTTCTTTAGAAGGGTTATTTGTATAAGAGGTATGAACATATAACCTTAATGATTTTTATAATTTAATAACTTTTAGGTGTTCAATGTGTGTGCACATATCACGTGAAGATTGATCCGAACTTTATCTAAAATCAAAGAAATATGTACAAAAGGTATGTAGAGGATCAAGTTATGGAATCCGTCTTCAAAGAAGATGGTTAACATCATAGATATACATTTATGAGTAGATGGTTTTGAAAAAAAAAAACATTTTTTTCACAAAAAATAGATAAGAAAATTTACATGTAGCAGACAAAAATGGTTTCAATGATACCAGAAAATGATGACTTGTTTATAAGTTGAAGAAATCTTTGTATGAAGTAAAGTCATCTCCAAGGCAATGGGTATAAGAAACTTGATTCATACATACTTAAGATTGGCTATATTTTGTGTGAGTATCATTGTTGTGTTAATTTTAGGAGTCTTCTTATTGATGATTCTTTTATTTTTGTGGTATTATACATGTATGATATGTTGATCTTTTATTTTTGTGGTATTATACATGTATGATATGTTGATCGCTTCTAATCATTTACATGATGTAAATGAACTAAAAAATGTATTGGGAAAAATATTTTATATGAAAGACTTATGTGTTGTTGAGAAGACTCTTGGGATGGAAGTTCACATAAATATGGGTGCTAGAAAGTTATGGGTGCTAGAAAGTTATGGTTCTATCAAAAAAAATATTTTGACAATGTGTTAAGAGAATGTTAGCATAAGTAATTCAAAGTTATGAGTACTCCATTGGTGAATCACTTTTAAGCTTTCCTTGATATGTCAAAAACAAATGTAGAAACTAAGAATATGTCAAAGGTTCCTTATGTTTAGTGTTTTGGTTGTATAATGTATGGTGTGGTTTACACTAGACCCGGTTTTTCACAATTTGTATAATATATGTTTATGTCTATTGAAAATCTATTTGTTTAGTGTCCCTTTAAATGTTTATGAATAACTTGAGGAGAGCTGCAAACATTAAAAAAATACTCCTATGAGATTGGTGATAAATATGAACAATAGTTCATAATTTAGACAAAAATAAACAAGAACAATAACACAACGTTTGAAGCCGGTTATTTGAAAAAACAGTGTAAACTCATGTGACATAAAATTGTTTGTTAATTAAATGATTAAGACGACTATTTTATTTCAATTGGATTGGATTTAAACATATAATTTAAAATCGGTTTTCAAACTGTTTTAAACAGTTTCACAAACTACAACAGATCATTAAACTAATCGTGAAACACCAATTTAAAAGGACTTTGAAATCTAACTTGAAATTTAGTTTCTGTATATTAGTGTATAAGCATGATTGTTGTAGCTCTCTCTCTCTCTTTTCACGCTCTCTTGCATTTTTCTCATTTCTCACTTTCTCATCACAACCAATTACACCATAAATGAATATTCTCAGCAGGTCATTGCAGATAATAAACATTACAAAACAAACAACTCTAATTTCGTATAGCCACTTGCGCAACTCCCGGAGTATCTTTGAAATGCAATTGAAATTTAGCTATATCAGAAAAAATAACTCAACTCTTGCAGCACAATCAATGGGAAGATATTTGTCGGATTTGGATTCCCTCATTCAGTTCTCCCTACATCTCTCCATCTTGTAGTAAGATTAAGATGGAGGTAGAACGGGTGAAGAGGAGAGTGAAGGAGACGATCCAAATTGATATTTGTCCGTGATTTTTGACAAATGCAGATCCATGATATAACAGGCAATGAAAATTGAGATACTTAGCTTTTATTATACTCTGGTGAAATCCAAATTATGGCAAGTAGGATTACATGGATAAGGACAATCAATAAGCTTTACCACTTGTCGGTCAAAGAACCAATCGGCAACGGATTCAGCAATTGTCTGTTCCAGAGGTAACAACAATAAAGGGTAGTTATGGAGTTATGTACTAGAATGTAAACCAGATGGAAATTGGTCAATGCCATGCATGACATGAATATTTTATATGATTTCCATCGCATATGAAGAAAAGCCAAAACAATTGTTACCTTATCGTTTATTTTTGGAGAATTAGGTGAAAACCAAGTCTCTTCCATCAAAGTCTGGCAATGGATAAAGCAGGAATCTATAAACATTCCAATATCCTTTCGTTGCTGGAACTCGTTCACAGTCTTCAGCAAAGAACTTCGAAAATCTAACAATGATAATCACAAAGTTATCCAAGCCAAAGAAGACAATCTCATAAATTCAGATATCACTATCAGGTCAACAATCATTACTATCCTATGCCATAGTAGAAGAATCCACCATCTGCGGCGTTTGAATCAAATCACATAGAGGGGTTACAAAAACTAATTTTTATTTTTTAAAAAGGCATTTCCTGTTAAAGGTTGATGTAAAAAGATCAAAAGTGTAATAAGATATTAGTACAAGACTATATGGAAGCAATTATGTTTACTTACTGTTAAGTGTATCCATCAAGTTAGCATCACAACTTTGAATGTTCAATCTACAGCTTTTCCAGCGACGATGAGGATCTGATCCTTGAGGTACCAAAATATTGTGTATCTGAGTACAATATAATTTGCGTCAAATGTCTGTCAAAGAAAAAAAACGTTTTACAACAAGGAAACATGTCTCCCAAGGGAGCTTACCTGCCAAAAATCATAAGCTGGGTGAACAAGAAAAACAGGAGTCTTTATGTTTTTCAGAATTTCGGATGAAAAGAAACACTGCATTACAAATCAACAACAGATTATTCTTAACTTAACCGTACGAATCATTTTTTATAGTTACAAACTATACCAAAAGGTGCGGCCACAGGGTTAAGAAACTAAAACCTGCCTTAGATGGTTCCATTTTAGCAAGGCACTCTTTGTGCAAACTTTTTGCAACACCCTGAGAACAAGATATGGTGAAAATTAGACACCTTACATATGCAGAACCCTTTTTTTATGTTTTTATTTATTTATACTTCATAAAGATACTTCCGCTGTCCTTAAATATAGAATCCTGTAAGCAAACACATCATTACCTGGAGCTGAACAACATCCTGATAGAAAGATTTCATTGTGCTATTTCCAAGAATATCCTTCCTGAAATTTATGTAACACGGATGTACTTATTTAAATTACTTGGTTACATGATGCATCGAAGTTAACACACAACATACAGGTGTAAATCAGTAGTCGCACTAGATTCAAGGATTTTCAAATTCCAAAGCAGTTAAAAAACTAAAATTCTTCTAGGATCACCCATAATGTAATAAGGTACAAACAGGTTTGGCAACTTTAAGTTTAAATTTTGCTAGACAGTGTCATAGTAGGAAAAAAGGAAAGATATGTTAAGATAAACCTACTCATTGAGGAAGAAGCCTGCATCCGCGAGACATTTAACAGTAGCCCCTTTTGGAAGTAATTGTCTGAAGTTATCACAGTGTATAAGAGTTGCCAATCCTCCAGCAGAGCATCCTGTCAACAGAGCCTACAAAAGTAACCTCATCTATCATCACATGCTAATAAGTTTTAGGTCACAGGTCAGGGCCAATAAATACATCATAGACACACATGATATGTTGGATTATGGTATAAGTATAACCTTCTTCGCTTTCGACATGCCAATTGATAAGAGTTCATTCATAATAGTTTCCCATATGATCTGGCCTCTGAAGAACAACCCACTTCCTTTCTGATGTATACAATAATTGTTTTTACAAAAAAATAAACTTACATCAAAATAAACCCAAATGTAACAAGAATTTCTTATTCGAATATGCAACACAGAACCAGCAACAACCAATGCCAAATAATAAATAGTCTCCTAAAGTTTCAAAACTGCAAAGATAAACCAACCCTAACCTCACTTTCTGGGTGACCAGCAAAGGATGCACCATCACAATAGCGTATCTTCACCTTGTTCCAGTTAAAGAAATCTGAATAAGTTTGGCAGATCCAGCTAAGTGACATCACTTATTTAACACGCTCACAGTATCCAGCACACAAACCATGCACATCTAAGGGTGAGTAACTGAAACCGGTACCAATTGATATAATTCACTTAATAACAACGATTATTTATTGAATGCTCTCTATAGAAATGGATATACAGCTTAATCAAGCACTTATCTTATAAGAGCTTATGTATAAGCTGAAAGCAACTTATGACAATAAGATGTCTAACTGTGAGCTTGAAAGTCAAAACATACTTGGCCAGGTTATAGCGAATGTCTCACCAGACCAATCAAAATCACATCAGTAACAATCTACAATTTAGGGAATGTATGGATATACAGCTCAATCAAGCACTTATCTAATAAGAACTTCTGTATAACCTGAAAGAAACAATAAGCTATCTAGAAAAGCTGCTAAAAATCAGCTGAAGAAAACTTACAGGCATACTATTAGTTACTTTCATAAAAACACAATGATATAGTCATAGCCAAGGTTTTAAAAAACAGTCCGTTAAAACGCTATGAAACGGTGCCGATACCATTATAAACCATTTTATGCTGAGGAAAAAATCACAAAGGAAAAACTGCTACGACAGCTACAAAACGATGTTATTCAGTAACACTGAAATTTTCAGAATCAAATTATGAAAGTACAAATCACCAAAAATAATTATTTTTAAACATTGTGATTAATTCACGATGCGACGACCGCCATAAGTCACGCAAGAGCTGTACCAACCGAAATGGTGAAAGCCTTTACGCGACGGTGGCCGTTATTTAAAACCTTGGTCAAAACTAAATTCTAAATTGCTAAAACATCCTAGCACATAGACACAAATGAGAGAGAGGTGGTTTCAAGAAATATTAAAGTAATTGAAGTGTTGTTAGTATAAGATGATAAAACGTTATAGGTGATTTTACCAACCAGGGTTTTGAGAAGGAAGAGAACTTAGCATCCCTGTAAAAAGAACAGGTGTATCCATATAATGAGACGAGCCCAAAGCAGTTGTTTTCCTATAAGAACATGAAGCTACGGAACTGCACCACCCTCCTCCCTACACCCGCAATATCAGCATCATGATGTAAAGAAACTCAATTCCAGTATATATACGAACAAAGAAAGAAAGAAAGAAAGAAAGAAACCTCGAGATGAAGCAACCAATTAGGCGATCCGGATCCAAATCCCTCTTGGAAATGGTAACCAGGAGCAGACCCATCCAAGCAAACTGCACAAAAGGAAATTGGATTAATTATTTTATAATTGTGAGTGTTTTGGGAAGGGAGAAGGGGCGTACGTGCGCCGATTTGTTTGAAGTTGGTGAGAGGGGTGAAGGGAATGAGGTTGGAGTAGGAGTGAGAGTGATGAGAGTGGGGATTGGATCGGATAAGGAAAGCGTATGAGAAGAAGAGGAGTAAGGCGAATGCGGCGATTGTGTATTGTTTTGTGCTCCATTTTTTGAAGGATGTTGAAAGATTGCGGAGGGGGAGGTTGTTGGTTATGGAGGTTATGGAGCAAGGAGACATGGTATGGCGGTATGGGTGGTGACTGTGAAATGCAAAATCGGACTCTCATGCGTCTCCCTGTGTTTATTACTGAGTCAACGCGGGAATAAACAAGTGTCACACAATTACATATAGAAAGTAAAATAAAAGATCCTTATGATCAACACTTACACACTTTGTTTTTTATTAGATAAAGAAAAAGAAAGTGAAAAAAAATTGTCAAAGGAAAGTAAATAAAATACAACAATACCCAAGTTTTTTCTCCTCAATCGGAGTCGATTATATGAATCAAATTTTGGAACGTATTTCTATTTAAATGGTTAATCTTGATATATGTTTTAATTTTTTTTTCATAATTTTTTTAAGTCTTTTTCTTCCTTTAATTGTTTGACTCTATTCTTCTTATTATAAAATCTATAAATCTCTCTCTACTTATTCAAACCTAATATTTTCATTTTTAATCTTATTACACATCTATCGCGGCATCTTCATCTCTATTACATTTGTTTTATTCTCGTGTCAAAAATAATGTGAGTAATAGTAAAAAATTATTACATTTGTTTTATTCTCGTGTCAAAAATAATGTGAGTAATAGTAAAAAATTATAAATAGTTGAGTTTATTTTCATGAAAATGTTTAATTTCCACCTTATAAACATGAGAATAAATATGAAAAAAAATTATGGATAAACAATATTCATGAGAATAAAAAATACTCGGGGAAATAATTTTTAAAAACTTAAAACTAACATGAGATTAATGCATTTTCAATGTCACATTCCCAGTAATATAATTTCGATCCTTAAAAAAAACAGAAATATTATTTTAACATCTAAAAAGATATCCGACGTCATATTTATACGCGGTTATAGTTTTTTTAATATTTTTTACATTTGTTATACGGTGTCTGCTTATACGATCGATGTTCAAGCTTTGATGTTCAAATATCATTGTTCCTAAAAAAAATTCCCAAACTATGTTTCACTCCTGCACATTTCCTACAAGTGTGAATCATATATTATATTACTTTCAACCGATGTAGTATTAAGTTATTAACCACACTCAGGCTCAGTTTCCTAATAAAATCAGCATCGTAATCATCACAATTGGAGCATGATCAATTATCTGGAGCATGATCAATGTTACATATATTTGTTCTCTTTCCCGTTGTCAAGAGACCATCACAATTGTTTCCTTCACTATACCTCTCTTCGTTCTCTCAAAGTCATCCCTTTCCACAATTCTATATGGTTTCACCTTCTATTTTCATAGCAGTACCTCAATAGCCTCCTAAATAGACCTGAAAACCACAATCCAAATCAAAGACTTTATCTTCTTCTCTTTCTTATCGCGAGCACATCCACAGAACTGTATTAACAAATAAAATAAAGTAACAATACAGTAATAAAATAACTACGGGGCAGATTATGCTTGCTGCTCACACAACATATAGCCAGTCATATTAACACAGGTTAACATGTTAACATCTTTTTCCGAAATAAGCAAAGTCTGCCAAGAAAAAGCTATGGCCTTAGATTGAGCTAAGCTTTTCCACAATAATCTGAATATCGGCTTCTATGCTATATCAGACCACACAACTTCATTGAAAGATTGAGAAACCGAAGAGACAGCTGATTTTACCCAAGGTTTCCCTGCTATTTCCCACTTCAAAACCCACGAGTCCTCATTATGTCCAAAGTCCAAACACACTGAATAAGTTACAGGCTGCTCCATGTACCCGTTTTACCCAATCAACATTCCTTTAGATGCAAAAGATGGTGCTTAAATTTAGCAATAAGAAAACTCGGTGTTGATGGCCGCTATAACGGCCAGCCATTAAAATTGGACCATGTGTCAAAAACAAAATCCAACCACAAAGTGGTTCCTGGTCAACTGCCAGACACTTTCAAGTTCACTAACTCGTAAGTATATCAGCTAAAAGAATGCCTCAACAATGCATAGAGTTTCAAACATTCAAGCCTCTTTTGCCATCACACTCTAAAGATTATTACACTGCATTCTCTAATAATATCTTATCAAGTTCAGCTGCACCACAATCTACATTGCCCACAATAGGTCTTACAAAATGATTCCACAAGTCATCATCAACTCCAGTGGACATGGCCAGAGAAACTACCTTGTTGATTTCTTGTTGCATTCCACCGGAAAGCAAAAGCCCATCAATCAATATTAAGTAGGTTGATTTGTTTGGCAAACACCCGTTTTCCAACATCTCCTCCAGAATTCTGATACCCTCCTTGGCATTTCCATCCTTACAGAACCCTTTAATCAACATGTTATAGGTAAAAGCGTTAGCAGCAACACCCTTTTCCACCATGTCATCCCACAGCTTCGCCGCCTCACAAAGCTTCCCTCCCTCACACAATCCAGCAATCAATGTATTATACGTCAAGAGACTAGCAACTGATCCCTTCCCAAACTCATCAAACACATTCCTTGCCTCCAGCACCTTCCCCTTCTTGCAAAGCCAGCGTACTGAAGACAACAACACCATCGAGGCTACAATCCTTCCTCGAAACCATCCTCCACACCTCACAAGCTCTCTCAACATTCCCTTCCTCACACAACAGATCAACAACATTACAACACAGCTCCGAGCCCGGGACACAATCCTTCCCAAGCATATCCTCAATCAAGTTAACCGCTTCCCCGGATCGCTTCTCCTTGCAATAAGCTTGAATCATAACACCATAAGTAACCTCATTCGGTTCAACCCCATTCTCCTCCATAACATCCATCACCCTAATCGCATCCAACAATTTCCCTAACCTACAAAACCCATCCACCAAAACAGTATAGCTAGTCACATCAGGATCCCACCCTCGATCCAAAATCTCGCGAAAAACCGTCATAGCACCATCCATATCACCCCTCCAAGCATACCCACCCAAAACAGTAGTATAACTAACAACATTAGGGACCAAACCCATTCCAGGCATCTCATCCAAAACCCTAACAGCAACCTCAACCTCATTCCCTTTACAAAGTGCCTTAAGCAAGACATTACAACTAACCACATTAGGCAAAACCCCAAACCTATCTCTATAATTCTTAAACAACAAAAACGCCAAGCGGTAACGCTTATTCTGAACCAAAGAATTCAACGATGCATTGAGAGACCTAACTGAGGATCGAATCCCAAACGATTCAATCCTCATGAACGTTTTGAGAGCCCGTAAGGGCTTTCCAGCAAGTCCGTAACCGCGAATCACAGTTATAAGTGGTTCTTCGCCGCAGTAATTAACGAATTGCTGGGGTGAGCCGCGGAGGGTGGTGAGGAGGGTTTCGATTTCGCGGAAGCAGCGGAATCGGGAGAGTTTGAGGAGGATGGCTTGGTAGGTTTGGGGGTTGTGGGAGAAGGGAGGGCGGTGGTGGTGTTGGGCGTGGAGGAAGATTTGGAGGGAGAGGTTTGGGTCGTGTTGGCGGGAAATGAGAGATGATAAGAGTTTAGGGTTGAGGCGGTGAGGCCAGGGTTTGATTGGAGGTTGTACTTTATAGGATTGTGGGAGAGAAGGTGTGGTGGTGGTGTTGGCGGAGATGGCGGCGGAGATGGAGGTGGAGAATGGGTGGTGGTGGGCAGGAAGGATGCGTCTGAGAGATAACATCGTCATGCAACTTCACCAAAGGACTGATGTTGGGTATCTTAAAAGCTTTAAGGTCTGTTTGATTCAGATGATCGAGGATGAGAATGATTTTAATAGGCGGAAGGGGAAGATTACGCAGGATTTTTTTAAATTATATATATGTTTGATTCAAAAAGGGAGAGGAGTGAGAGAAATTTTAATTAAAAATATGTTTAGTTTAAAAGAGTGTGGAAGAAATTTTATTAATAATTTATATATTTATTTTTATAATTTTATATAAGTGATATGATATTTAAAGGTAAAAATTTTATAATATTTTATTAAAATAATATTTATTATATTAAGTGATTAAAAAGTCATAATTTATTACACAATATAAAATATATATATATATATATATATTTGATTTATATTATAAATTTCGATACAAAATAAATTATATTTGATAACAACTTTTGAATACATAAAATAAATTATTATTAAATATTATATAAATTACAATATAATAAAAAAATAATAGTTTAAAATTTAGATAAAAGCGTAATAATAAAATATATAATTGTTTTGGATTGGGTCTGCCATTGATCCAACTCCCAGTCTCCCAGTAAGACCCAATCCAAGTGTGTCAACTTGTATCACTGATTGTTTCTATCTTCGAATGTAGCGGGCAACTACCACATTTTCCCTACGATGAGACAACCTCACCACACGGGAACAAACACTCCGAGTAGACTAAGGACAGTCACCTCTGATCATGAAGGCGTCGAGGACACCCCGACTAGCTCGTCGACCAAGACTGGTCCCCTCACTCGACCTCGCGTATGGCGGGGATCACCCACTACGGGCAAATGCTCCTCCCGAGCATCCTTCTCGTAGGGCTGACTACCCACGTCTCCGGATATCACAGAATCTTCGTGGCCCCAGAAAGATCGCATCCATATCCTTCTGACCTTGCGGAGGACGTTCTCCAAATAGGGGACCATGTGTGGATCCCCACTACTCACGTAGGACATGGCAGTCTCTACGTTGGGCCTGCTTGACCAGCCCAATATAGAGACCTTGACCCAGCGCTAGGGGCTATAAATACCCTCTCTTTCGAGACGGTCAGGTATTCAACACTTTCTTATTCGCACGCTTGCTTGCTCATTATGCAACTTACTTTGGCATCAGAGTATCTTGCAGGTACCCTCCCCCCACCTCACTCAAACTCTGCTCGGTGAAGCTGTGATGGTCCATTCTAATCAGGTACGATCAGTGGTGTCGTCTGTGGGAAACTTGTTTCCCCCTCTTCCATTTGCACAAGACAAAAGCTAAATCACACTCCTTTCTGATTGTCATGGCTGATCAAAGAGTAGAAAACAACATGAATGTTCGTCTCGCCAATGCCAACAATAGCATCATCGACAATAACACCAGCGTCAACAACACTGGTCTTGCCAGCCACAATGTTGCTCCCACTGGCCTTAACGCCGGTAACGACATCAATGCTGGCCACCCCGACATGCCTGGATTCTCGGAGTACAGAGATGGGTTGACTGCCTCATCGTCGTCACTGTCCCGACAATTCGAAGACGATTGTCCACCTCCTCGGAACTACCAACTCAACCAGTTCCAGGAGGTCCTCGTTCCCGCCGGAGCAGATGCCAAGACCAAGGCACTGTTCACGGCAATAAACCAAACAAATTATCTGATCTCCTCTCAAGGAAAGAGATTAAGGGCGCTTGAAAATGTCCGGAGAGCCCCCAGAAGACATAGGAGGCCCCATTCTCCTCCTCCTCGCCAAGTAGAGGAACATCCCCAATCTCCCTCGTGGAGACGCAGGCGGAACGCCTCTCGAAGCCCCTCTCCCCGACCAATCAGGCGACGCCCCGCGTTAGAGAGGGACCAGCCCGTAGACATAGGGAGACGCGATCACATCCCCTTGCGTCAAGAGCAAAGACCCTCTGGAGACAGGAACAAGGGAAATAACAAACGATTGTACCGCCTGAGGAACGCTCTGCGCGACCAGGGCCATCATCATAACCACCACTACAACAAATCTCCTTCTCGCTCTCCAGACAGGAGTGACGAAGACGACCCCCGCGGTCCCTTGTCACAAGCCATTATAGAGGCACCCATTCCCCCAGGCATGGAGAAGCCTCCCCATCTGAAGGAGTACAACGGCATTGCCGACCCGGTCGACCATATAGACGGGTTTGAGGCAATGTTGCATTATGACAATGTCGGGGGACCAGTCAAATTTCGGTTGTTCCCCACGACTTTAAGGAAAGTTGTGATGGATTGGTGCAAGAGTCTCGTCCCGGGGTCAATCACCTCCTGGAGAAATTTAAAGAACCATTTCATCAGTTCGTTTACTGCTTCACATCGAAACCCAAAGACTGAAGTAGCCCTCGAGACTATCATCCAGAGACACGAAGAGACCCTGAGGGAATTTATTGATCGATTCAACCGGGAGGCCATCCAGGTCCCCTGCACCGATCATATAAAGAGATACATGCTCGAGAGGGGACTCCTCCCAGGAACGAAATTCAGAAAGGTCGTTGGCATCGAACCACCCCATACATTTGATGCCCTCCTCGAGAAAGCTAGAGCATACATGGACTACGAGGAGAGGGAAGCGGCCAATAGAGCCCGTGACCCCAGGAATCATGGATCAACCAGCAATTCGCAACAAAAAGACTTCGCCCATCCTTGATGAACTAGAGAGAAGAGGAGGGATGACAAACCCCGAGATCCTCGTGAGCAAAGAGGACCCTCGGGGTAGTTTATTGAGTACACTCCACTGATGGCTTCCGGCAAATGCATCTTGGTGGAGTGTGCTAACACTGATTTCAAGGACGGCAGCGTCAAGGGTCCTCGCTCTGCTCCTGCTAAGCCCAGAGCTGATCAGAGCAAATACTGTCAATATCATCAAAGTCATGGACACTTGACTGAAGATTGTGTCCATCTCAAAGATTCAATTGAGACCCTCATCAAAGTGGGAAGACTCGGGCAATATCGACACGACGACGCCCCTCGTCGAGATGCCCGTGACACGAAGGAGATTGAAGATGATGACTGGCCATCAGACGAGACGGTCCTCATCCAGACAGCATTCTCCATTACAAGACCAGAGGACTTCTATGTCTCCGGGGATATCTAAGAACCTCTCACCACGCACAGTAGGTGGGAAAGGTTCCCCTCCGTCATGGTCATAAATGGTGGGGGATTCAACCATATAACCATAAAATCTGCGAAGAGGAAGTTGGACGAGCTGGTCGACGCAGCCCCCCGTAAACGGTGACTTTCTAGAGGGTTAAGCATAGATCAGAGCCGATTACCTTCTACCTTGAGGAATTGTCCAGAAGGGCACCCAATTAAGCCATCCTTCTTCTGATCAGGGCGAGAATGGCTAACTTTGATATTCATCGCGTCTTGGTCGACGAAGGATGTTTTGTCGACGTGATGTATATCCAGCTCTTCAGAACCCTGCAGCTCGACGACTCTCACCTTTCACCATACGTGGGGTCCGACCTGCAGGGCTTTAACGGCTCGACCTCCAAGCCATGGGGGTACGTGGAGCTCATGGTCACCTTCAGCGAGGATACCGCCACCAGGCAAGTCAAGGTGTGTTTCCTGGTCATTGACTGCCTATCTCTATACAACTGTATCCTAGGGTGACCTACACTGGAAGAGTTGACCGTGGTACCCTCCACCATCCATCTGAAGATGAAGTTCTACACAAAAAGGGCATGCGTCTCCACCATCCAGCATGACCTAGCAGCTTCACGAAGATGCTTCAACGCGGCGGCAAAGGGACAAAGCACGGTGGACACTGGAACATCGCCCGCCAAGAGAGCCGCCACAATGCAACCAAAGCCACATCCCATCAAGGCAGGAGAGCAGAGTGCTCCTCAAAAGGTCGACTCAATCTCATTTGACATCCGCTTCGACCAAGACGAAGCACCCAATGACGAGCAGAGGCTCCTCCGACCAATTCCGGATGGGGACTTAGAGCTCGTCCCTCTCGATGAAGACCCGAACAAAGGGGTGAAGATCGGCACCAGACTCCCCTCACTCGACCTCGCTGTGATCGGTGGATCTGGAACTGACTGTTTAACGCTGGTTCGCGAAATGTCGCGGAAGCAAGAGTCGCCACCGTCTTTTATTTTCTCCAAATGGAAAGGACAAAAGCACAGAAAAATTCCTTAAAAGAGATTGCTCTCGGTTCGGGAGGTAGGTTATAGAAAGGGAAGGTGTTAGCACCCTTTCTATCCATGGTTATCCATGGTTATCCATGGGCTCTTAGATACTTGCTCAATGTGTTTTCAAAATGTTTACTTGCTTTTCAATGTGGGTTTCAAAAATATTCTTTGAAAAGTTTCAGTTCGACTCGTACGTCAGAGTGTTTGAAAAGTTGGTTTTGAAAGTTTTTGAAAGTGTGTTGGTGAGAAAAGTCTTTGAATTTTTGTTTTGAAGAGAGCAAGTATCCATGAGTCGTCTACCTACCCTAAGGAATTCGTCTGTGTAAATGTCCTTTAAAGTAGTGCCATCCCACCATTGAGAGGTAGGTAGCACCACCGTCGGAGGTGTTCGGGTCAATTCGAGTTTGTAGGGACATGGTGATCACCAGAGCAATGGGAAGACACCTTAGAAGCTACCCTCATGCCAGGTTCCCGGATCATGAGGACTTACTAAGACATCCTCTACTCGACGATCACCTTTCGAGGCAAGGCAACAGTGAGGCGTACCCTAGGGGTGGTGTGTGCGATTCGTGTGTCGTTTTCATTGATATTTGTCTTGTCATGTTTATTGGTGTTCTACGCTTGATTTTAATTAGGGCCATTCATTCTTGCATGCATTTAACAGTTATAAAGTTTGCGGAAAAAAAATAAATCTAAACTATTACAAATGGCGCGGGTCCACATCGCCAAAATAAACTGAACCCGATTTGACTGAAAGTAAAAAAGCAATAAAATGAAAGTGCGAGAAATAAAGTAAAAATTGTTACAAGGCTTTGGGGCATATACATAATTATTTAA